AATATCTATGCCCACACAAAAAAAAAAAAAAAAAAAAAAAAAAAAAAAAAAAAAAAAAAAAAAAAAAAAAAAAAAGGGAAAAAAAAAGAAAAAGAAAAAAAGAAAAAAAAGGGGAATTCTTAATATGATATTGGGAGAACTTCTATCCATCTTTGCGTTTACATAATTTAATCTGTCCCTTTCTTATGGCATCTGGTTAAGTTTGAGTACAAATTTAGAAACAAATTGAATCCATTGTTTAAATTTCAAATGTTTTTGCAGTTAATAGTGATGTGAGCTTCATTCAGTCTGTTGACATATCCATCTTTAATTTGTTAATTATGTGAGGCATTGGGGTCTATAACCAGTACCTGAGGATTTCTTTATTCCATGAAACAGGGGATGCTTTGAATGCATTAAAGACTAATTTGGCTGACCCTAATAACGTGTTACAAAGTTGGGATCCAACCCTTGTCAATCCTTGCACATGGTTTCATGTTACATGCAATAGTGATAATAGCGTAACTCGAGTGTAAGTTTCTTATTTGACTTTGCTAGTTTTATAATTTTCTTTTGTTATTATACTTTTTTAGCACATACATAATGACAATCTTCCTCTTCTTTCTTCAATTTAGCGATCTTGGAAATGCAAATTTGTCTGGCCAACTTGTTCCACAACTTGGGCTGCTTTTAAATTTACAGTATTTGTAAGTTATGATTTTCTTTCACTAGTTAAGTGTTTTATTGATAGCTGTATATTTATTCTTTTTCCATTGGATTACATTTTATCTCTCTCTTTTTTCTTTATTGAATTCTTCTCGAATGCCTTGAATAATATGGATCATGTGCATTCTTTGTTAGCTGCTTTTTGTTGTCATTTTCCCATTTGATTACATTTTATCTCATTCACTCACTCACTCTCTCTCTCTCTCTCTCTCTCCCTCCTTTAACGGCTTCCACTCCTACTTATTGAATAATATGGATCATGTGCATTCTTTGTAAGCTGCACTTCATTGCTAATGATGTGATTTATTATTAAAAAATTTGTTTGCATGTTTTTCTTGTGGACTACTTAGGTTTATTTTATGAAATCACATCCTCATGTATTCAAATAGTTTCTGAACTTTATTTTTGGTTGCAAGAGAATAGTTGTCATGGAAAATTTTTGGTTAATTGATTGCTAAACATAGGGAAAAGAAATGGTTTTCTTTTGGATTGTGGATGTAATAAGTTAGTACAGACTAGAGAGAGCAGACTGTTCAAGTGCTGTTAGAAATACCTTTTAAAAGTTAAATAGTTAATGATACAATAGTTTAGGAGGGAGAGACAAGGAGCTGGACTGGACAATCATTGAGTTCATTAAGGCTTTCACCTGGGCATGGCTAGGGGCTAAGGCAATCTGTAATGGATAAAATTGCCTCACTCCTCCCAAGTGAGGCATCTTTGATAAGGCGTTCACCTTTTTTCACCTTGCAAGTTAAGGTGTTCACCTTTTTTTGCCTTGCAGGTTAATGTGTTCACCTTTTTTTGCCTTGAAAGTTAAGATGTTTCACCTTGCAAAATTATCTCTTAATCTTTTGATTTCTAATTTGAATTTTCTTCCTTTTACAGTTAATCTCTTTGTGATGGGAATCATGAGTGCCTATCATCTTAAGTCTTTAGTTTTCATATAGAATGATTTCTACTCCAAAAGACTCCTCTCACACTCAGTTGGAACAACAAAGTTAAATAGAAAAAATTTTCTAACTTCGTACTTTTATCTAACTTTCCACATTTTGTTCTTCTAATTTTAATTAACCTACATTGTACCCAAAAAAAAAAAAAAAGGTTTAGCATAGCTCCCTTGACTGTCATGCCATGCATAAACGAAAATTTTCTTCTTTCTGTTTTATGTGTCTTATGATCATGAAGAAATTAGAAATGAGTATTAACAACTTTTTATCTTCCATATTTTCCTTATGCTCCTCATTTGTTTTCAATTTCATTCTCCTTTCATCTATTTTTCACATTTTCTTCTTCCCTTTTCATGTTGGTAAAATTTGAATGAACTTATGCTAGCTATTAAGTATTAACCTATGAAAACTGTCCTTTATTTTCGTGTGGGATAGAATAGACTATGTAAATTTGAAAATGATATAGTTACAACGCCAAGTGGCACTGTAAGTTTACAACCATGAGGTGTTATTAAATGATTGACACTTTTCATTCAAGAGTCCTCCTGTGATGTTGTATGTAGTCCACTCATTTAATGACACACCACGATGGTAAGGCTACAATCCTATGTGGCTTTGTAACTATAGCATTGCCGATGTAAATTGATGTAACTTGAAGCATAACATCTGGGAATGATTCGAATGAAAGATATAGTCATATCACTTGTGTATAATAAAGGATATTAAGTGGTTTTATCCCACATTTGTTAAGTCTTGAATTTCCTCTGATTGTATATTCAAGTTGGGGTCTCTAACTATTACCATGGTTGTTTAGAGCCTAGGCTCAGTTGTTTCCTGATCTGTTGTTTGGTGGCCCCTTTTGTTGCCTTTAGTAAAGTAATAGAAACTTATACCAAGATAGTTTATAGCCTAAGATGACTTGATAAACTTTATTCCATCTCTCCCACAATAATAGTCATTTTTTGATTTTTTTTCCTGATATTAAAGTGATTGGATGACAATTGGGTTCAAGTCAAAAAAAATGATTCCCTTAAAATTTGAGTCAAAAAATGACTATTATTGTGGGAAAGAGGGAGTTTCTCCATATTTTTTTATACAAATATATAGATCAAAGATAATATGAATTCATCAATGTATTAGACTTAGCTGAAGATAATACCATTATTATTACGTTTTGAAATTATTCTATTGATTAAATTAGATCAAGACAATATGAATTTATTCTTTGGTGTTAAAGGTATCTAGATATACGAAATTTAATAGTTTTATAGTTTTGAATAGGATTATATGAACAACATGATTGATAGATGATTTACTTATATATATATGGTGAACAGGATGTTGCTGGGGGGACCTTTTTATAGTAGAAGATATATTAAATGATAAGGAGGGATAAGAGTTCTGGAACTGCTATTAGCATATAATTCTTCTTCATGTAATTATAGCTAAAGTAAAATCCAAAAAGAGGAAAGAATTTTGTAATTGGTTGCTTGGTTGGAGATGCAAAGATTGATTGGGAAGAATATTTTAATGAACAAAAGAGTTAACATGAATTTAAAAGGTGATAGGCGGGAATAATTTAGATAATATGTAATGTGGAGCAATTTCAATAACGCTGGACAGCTTGACCTTAAAGAAAAAATTAGAAATCTAAAACTGGACATCAATATGGCTGCATTAAGTGGCCAAAATAATGAGAATGAATCATCAAATAAATAATCAGGGAATATAATTGGACTCTTGTATTAAGATTCTGCTTGGCTGGTTTGCCAGATGAAGAATTATCATAATAGGATGGTGCTAAATAAATAGTACTAATTCAAATGAAATAGGTGAGTGAGCTTATCAAGCTACTGTTGTTTTGTTTACAATGGCTCTTGGGTTCAGTATTTTTAAATTGGGCTGGTAGGTATTTTTCATGTTAATTTTTGGAGGCCATTTGGGTATTTAGTACAGGTGTCTTCAAATTTTTTTATATTAGTGGGGAAATTTTTCAAGCCACTGTTAGTTTGTTTACAATTGAACTTGGGCCTTTACTTCCTTATTGGGTATTTTTAAATTGGGCTGGTGGGCATTTTTCATGTTAATTTTTGAAGGCCCTTTCGGGTATTTAATATAAATGTCTTCAACTTTTATATAAATCATTAAGATTTTATTTAAAAAGTTTTATGTTGCTTGTAAAGCTAGTACATGTGATAAGATCCTACCTGGCTTGCTTGAAATCGCTATTGTTTCTGAAACCTAAAGAAAGGAAACATTTCAAACCAGCAGGCATAGAGAAAGCTTAATCAGTGAAGGTTTCTAGTTATTAGGCTTCGCTTATTTTCAGTTTATATTAGAATATTTCTATTCAAGAGTATTTTGTCAACATCATAAGTTAGTAATGCTGATGGAATATAATTTTTCTGTAATCCATTGTAAGTGCAAAATTTTGTACTTATTAAAAGAAAAGAAAAATGAAAAAAACTAGAAATAGAATGTAATTGTAGTAGTTTTTTATTTTTTTATTTTTATTTATTTATTATTATTATTTTTTTTTATGGATAACATGCATATCTGGACATTTGGCCTAACTAATCCCGTTGACACTTGCAAACCACCCCAGCCACTAGTACCAAGTATGGCTACACCTTCAAGGGTGGTGGGCATGGCCCATTGGAATTGTTTTGTTTGCACCCAAATGGCATGGGAGGGATTCAAACTTTCTCCGCATGGTTTGAATAACTCCTAACCACTTGAGCCAACCTCAATGTGTTGTAATTGCAGATTTTCTTTGCTGAAAAAAAGTGAATTATTATTGTTATTGCATATTCTCCAAATGCACCTTTACCTATAAGAATAGAATTTTGCTTGTTATGCAGTTTAAAACTGTGTTATAATATTTTTTGAAGTTTGAAGATGAACTTGGTTGATGTTTATTTCTGCACCATTTTCACCATAACCACAAGTCCATTTTCTGACAGGGAACTTTATAGTAATAACATTAGTGGAAAAATCCCAGAGGAGCTTGGAAATTTGACGAACCTGGTGAGCTTGGATCTTTACTTGAACCGCTTAAATGGAGTCATTCCATCTACACTTGGGTACCTCAAAAATCTACGTTTCTTGTAAGTACACATCCTATATTCTTTATGCTCTTAATCCTTCTATTTTCTGATAGATCTTGTCTTGTTTCTGTTGTATGCATTTTTGTCTACTGAAGTGGATCGATAATTTTACTACAACAGTGTTTAATTAAA